TTTTATCCGAGTAGTTTTATCCGAGTAGTTTTATCCGAGTAGTTTTATCCGAGTAGTTTTATCCGAGTAGTTTTATCCGAGTAGTTTTATCCAAGTAGTTTTACTTTATGTTTAAAAACGTGATTATGTTTAACATAAGTATTATTAGTAGTAATTTATTACATTGTTATATGACATTCATTTCCATTTCAAAGTATATATTAATAAATAATAAGATTTTAAAATCAAACGTTAATTTTGTCTCTAATTAACGATTTAAAAAATATTAAATTAATGTTACATTTCTATATATAGTAATCACCAGACAATCAAACTTACGATGAATTCAACGACAATAATAGCATTTTTGATGACACTTATTATTGCTTGGGATGCAGTGATTGGCGGCAAACATGAGATCTCAAAACACAATTCATCGCAAATACATGACCGCGAAGATCAACGCCAGTACTTCCAGACACGGATCCCAAAACCATGGGAAGTGTCCGACTGTCCGGACGTTAATCAGATTAGAGATCTATTCAAATATACCATCTATAGGTGTCTGGAGAAGAAGTGGGCGCCACTACAGTTCTGGCCGCCGGATCCACAGCCGCCGCCCCCTTTCGACGACAGGGAGTGTTGTTATCAAACGCAAAGACTTTGTTTTGAAGATCTCGTGGTATTTATTTCCACTATTGATAACATAATATTGGGTTTCATAGGGATCTCTCTCTCTCTCTCTCTCTCTCTCTCAAGTATAGCCAACAATGTAAACCTCTGGACGGGTTCACCGATCGGACAGTACGGGTGCACGACTTGAATGTGAAAGACTGTGAACGAGACGCCAACATTCACCTGACGGACGACTTCTGCGACCGATTGAACTCAAACCCAATCCACGACAACCACTGCCAGCCGTATCTCAACTGTCGGATCGGCGATCAATTGGCGCCCAAAACCAGTCCTCAGCCGCGAACCACACGACAGCCCAACGCCGAAGATATAGTCCCTCAACAGTCCAAAGGGAGCGCCGGCATCCAGAGTCTCCATACCGGCCCTCAATTTCATTTCCTATTTCTATTGACATTAATTTTTATTGCTTTCATTCAATACTTATAGAAAATTGAAATTTGTTTTTAGATATAAAGTTATTTATTTGTTATACAATTATTAAAAATTGCTGTTTAAATGTCTTTTACTTGCATTTAATAGTCATCTATTAAACATTTGTTAGGGTTTAAAAAACTGGTTATAAGGTTAAAATAATATTAAATTGTAATTAAATTACACATAATAAATGAATAAAATTTAAACTATAAATCTTTAATTTAATCTAAAATTTTAAAATATTTAGTTTTTGTGATATAGCCTGCACAAATTATCAATCAATATTTTCTAATCAACATTAATATTAATAGATATTTAATGTTTTAATAAAATAAGTACCGGTATTATATTTTTATCAATTTATATATTTCTGTCGATTAGCGATAAAGTCCTCAAATATTTTAGAAATTTTTGATAAACTATTTTCAGTTCGTATTCTTTCGCCAATTTGTGACAACTTTTGGTTCAAAGCCTTATCAGTCAATAGTCGGTCGACGGCTCCCAATAACTCTTCTTCAGTGCACCGGAAGGCGTTTAAAGTGATCCCAAAACCCTTGTGTTGGATCTGCTGGCCGTTGTCGAGTTGGTCACCAAAAAACGGTAATACAATCATTGGTTTCCCAAAATACATACTCTCTGTGACTGTATTATTGCCGCCGTGTGTTATCACTAAATCAACTAATGGATTGTGAACATTGACGCCATGTCAGGGCCGCGGGGTGTATAACAGCCCGTCTCATATCCACAGCACTTCCCCGGGAAAGCTGTGTTATTTGGCTACGGCCCTAAATGGGTTTTAACGCTGGTTAGAGTTCATATTGTCCACATTTGCCGCACCCATAGATCCCAACGAAAAATAAATTAATTTTTCGTTGGATTTTTGGGTTAAAACATCCGGCAATACAAACGTTGAGTGCTTTTCATTTCGCATTAAATTATCAAAACGTATGCAATTCGGGGGCAGAAGTCTGACATCGAGGTAATCCAACTCTAGGGGATAGCCATAAACGCACAGACATTTTGATAGATTAGGATTAAACATAATATCCCGGTTTAGTGGCGCACAGCCGCGGCTAATAACCCAATCATTTAGTAGACTCCAGGCCTCTCTGTCCTCGGCGTTGACCCGTAGTTCGCGAAAGCGTTTCCATTCACTCTTATCGCTAGTAAACGGTAAACCTATTGATATAAATATATTACTTTATTAATTACTAAATAGACAATATTAATAAAGTAAACAAGTTGTAATTTAAAAATGTGATAAAATTAAGATTAATAATAATAATAATTAGTTGTATATTAATGACCTGAAATGGCTGGTGGTGTGCGCTCGTCGTCCAACAAAAACAATGGATTACCGCTGCGGACCCACACATACGGTATACCACAGGCCTCGACATATGGTAGGGGAAAATGTTGGTCCAAAACAATCAGATCGGGATTAATTTGCTTCACAATCGTCTCCACCTCCCGGTCCACCGCTATGTGTCCGGCAATCCTCGAAGCCATAAGTTTACTCAAATTTTGCATCTTTTCAATGGGCGGCAAATCGCTGAACATTCCGCTGGACATCACTTGTTTGGCCACATGTTTGTTGGGATCACTGTCAGCCTCGGGCGGGCCTGTAGTGAAATTATCGGTCAAACTAATCACTTCAATAGCAAATGGCTCCACAAATGTCTTAAACATGGTCTCAATGGCAAACACAGCTCTATGTCCGGCCCCTATCAACAGCTCAGCGATACTAATACAGGCGTTCAGATGTCCGGCGGCATTGATTGGTACGAATAATACAGTTAAACGTTTGGCCATTGTTTTCGCTTAATAGTTATATTTCATATACTTGTATACAATAATTTTCAGTGTAATTCAGGTAATATTCAGCATAAAGTATGTTTATATCTTTAACATGTTATGCATGTTTAATTATTATAACCAAATACAATGTCGAATTTGTACTCACTTATATACTAATCTTTATAAATTTTCGTTTATAATGTACCATAATTTTAATAAGAAATGTGCCCTAATCACTTTCCTACTGAAACACATTTATCTCTATTACTTTTTAATATGATATAAACATTTTAAGCACCTAATATACATTTAATGACAATTATAAAAATGCAGTAAAATAAGTATTTGACGAAGTACAAAACGAAGTGACAAATAATTCTACCGACAAAAATATCGATACTATGGTATCTAAATTTTGTAAAAATTATAATAAATATTATAAGTTTAAATAGAAATAAATAGAAATTATTTTATCATGAAAAATTATAATATCTTTGAATTAAATAAATATTTATTTAAAAAATATAATAATATTATAATAAAAATCAAATAAGTTCTAAAAGTAAAGATAAGAATTGAAAAAACTTACACTTAATTTAATGTACTTTTTAAAAATTATATATCAATATTTATAAAACAATTAATATTTTGTAATGATTAAATCACAACAATTATGTTAATACCATTTTATGTTATTTAATTGCCTACTGCTTGTAATGTTAACCCAAACCACAAGTGCTTTAATTATGTTAATACTTAATTAAATTCCAGGATTTTATATTTAATTAAGTTATAACCATATGTTTTACTCTGATTTTAGTAATTTGTAAAATTAGATTATAATTAAAAATTTAATAATAAAATTTAAAACAAAGAAATTGAGGACATCGGTCACTGGTGTTACATGTTTAGTGTTTCCTCAGTCGTAAGTTAAACCATATGTTAATAATTAATATTAAATTAGAAATTAATATAATTCACATTCTAAATTAAGTACTAACTACAGTATCTCTTGAGTAAACATAAAATAATATTATATTAATATAGACTTAGGATAAAAAAGGGATAAAAATATTTTAATTGTTGTAATTTTTTAAAAATGCGAGACTAGTGTTTACAAAGGAATTAATAATTAAACCCGTTTTCGGGTAAATTAGAAACGTTTATACAAATATAAAAATTAATTCTCATATATATTAGACAATAGTTTGCTATTAAAACAAAAAATAAAATAATGCTTTAAATTTTCTTCTGTAAATCTCAATCGTTTTTCACTTAAAATTTGTTTATAAATGGAAAAACTTCTCTCAACCACAGCTGATGTAATCGGGGCTTTTTGAAACAATTGTATTTCATTATCTGATAATTTAAAGTCCAATTCTCTTTGCGAATGACCATTAATTATATCCAATATGTGTCTAATTTTTTCAAAACCGGTGTTTTTAGTCAAAACGTTATCTAATTTATTAAAAACCATATCAAGTCCGGCGATACTTTGTAATTCAACGTAAACACTATCAATAAGATGTATGCTGTTGAGTAATAACATCTCATTGTGTTCTAATGTTTTTATCGCATATACTAAACAGTTGTAATTATTTGATACAAAATTTAATTCTCGTTTTAAATCATTAGATTTAAGCAAATCTTGAAGTTCGGCCACGTATTTGCTTTCGGTTTTATCAAAGGTATTGACAATATAACAAAACGTATCATAATGTTTAGTGTAATACTTTATGGCTTCAAGCCATAAACCCCATCGGGTCTTAATAGGTGCCGGTGGAAGCGGTATATTATATTGATTAAACAATTGTCTTCGTTTTTCACATTTATTAACAATTAGTTTACCACAAGCTATTAATCTATCGATTTTAAAATATTTAGTTGAAATATACTGACATACATTATGCAGTCCGTGTGCCAAACAAGTGACGTGAAATAATTTGGGAAATAATATTTGAAGTGTATCTCCAGCAGCCTTCATGTATGGAGCCGCATCAGTAATTAACAGTAATAGTTTGTCATATTTTATATTAGATTTCCATAACATTGACAGTGAATTAATTACACATTGAATTACTGTAGAATTGTTCACATTTTCAGTATATTCAACATTTAAAAGAAATATTTTCATAGTTTTATTTGGATTCAATGCGCCCACAATCACTGAGAATACATGTCGTTTTAGCACATCAGTTGTCTCGTCAATTGATATCCATATATATTCACCATTTAATTCGTTTCTAATATTATCAATAGTTTTATCAAAGAGTTGTGGCAAATATTTTTTTCGAAGACTGGATTCACTTGGCGTTTGATTATTAATTATATTTTTATATATTTTAAATAAATATTTATTTAATGCAGATATTATAATTTTCCATGATAAAGTAATTTCTATTTATTTCTATTTAAACTTATAATTTTTATCATAATTATTACTAAATTTAGATAAGAAAACTAAAATATAGTTTATATCAATATTTTTGTAGGTAGAATTATTTGCATAATCTGTTTTATAAATTATTTATTTTACTACATTTATATAATTGGCATTATTCATAATTATAAGTACGATATATTTATTTATTGATTAAATATTAAACATACACAAAGATAATAAAATGTATTAATCAATTAACTCAATGCGAGTTTATATAATCTTAACTACACTATCAACATTATAGAGCAAATAATAATACAGTCAGACATTTATGCTAGCAACCTTCTATGCTGTCAACTTTTCTATGTTATCAACAAAATCCCAAAACCCAAATATTAATTTAGTAATATTTTACTAAATTGTGAACAAATTACAATAAAATAATTTGTACATTGCATTATATTTTTAATTATTTAATATATTTATTTCTATTTGAGATAAAATCTTCAAATATTTCGGGAACTTTTGATAAACTATTTTCAGTTCGTATTCTTTCGCCAATTTGTGCCAACTTTTGGTACAAAGTCTTATCAGTCAAGAGTCGGTCGACGGCTCCCAACAACTCCTCTTCGGTGCAGTGGAAGGCGTTTAAAGTAATGCCTAAACCCTTGTGTTGGATCTGCTGGCCGTTGTCGAGTTGGTCACCAAAAAACGGTAATACAATCATTGGTTTCCCGAAATACATACTTTCTGTCAGCGTATTATTGCCGCCGTGTGTTATCACTAAATCAACTAATGGTAACACTTGTAACTGAGGTACAGTCCCGGCGCCCCACATATTGTCGGGCAGAGTATAGGTGTCGTGAAGCGGCCCTTTCGACACAATAAACCGGTGCCGGGATTTACCCAAAATCGCGACCAATCTTTTCATATTGTCCACATTTGCCGCACCCATAGATCCCAATGAAAAATAGATTAATTTCTCGTCTGATCTTTGCTTCAAAACATCCGGCAATTTATATGTCAAGTGCTTTTCGTTTCGCATTAAATTATCAAAACGTATGCAATTTGGAGGCAAAGGTCTAACATCGAGGTAATCCAACTCTAGGGGAAAGCCATAAACGGACAAACATTGAGATATATTTGGGTTAAACATAATATCCCGGTTCAGTGGCGCACAGCCGCGGCTCATAGCGTAGTCATTGAGTTGACTCCAGGCCTCCCGGTTCTGGGCGTTGAGCCTCTGTTCGCGATAGCGTTTCCATTCATTCTTATCGCCAGTAATGGGTAAACCTATTCACATGAATATAAAGTATTAGCGGTTAATTACCTAATAATAAAATTAATATATGATAATATATTATGATTCAGAAAACTATTTATTAAAAATAAATAACAATATTAATTACCGGAAAGGGCTGGTGGTGTGCGCTCGTCGTCCATTAGTAATAACGGACCGCCACTACGGACCCACACATACGGTATACCACACGCCTCGACATACGGTATGGGAAAATGTTGGTCCAAAACAATCAGATGGGGACTAATTTGCTTCACAATTGGCTCCACATTTCTGTCCATTGCTATGTGTTTATCAATCCTTTGACCCATAGTTGCGCCCATTTTTTGCATTTTTTCAATGGGCGACAAATCGCTGAACATTCCGCTCGACATCAATCGGTCGGCTATATGTTTGGCCAGATTGCCGTCAGCCTCGGGCCTGTCCTCCCCGGACATGACATCATCGGCCAAACCAATCACTTCAATCCCAAATGACTTGAGTAGTGTTTCAAATTTGCTCTCAACTGCGAACACAACCCGGTGTCCCTTCCCTATCAACGGCTCGGCTATACCTATACAGGCGTTTACGTGTCCGACGGCACCGATTGGTATGAATAATATTGTTAAGCTTTGGGCCATTGCTTTCACTCAATAGTTATATTTCATATACTTTTATACAATAATTTACAGTGTATGTTTATAACATGTTTAATTATTATAATAAAATAAAATGTTGAAGTTGTAGTCACTTTATATACTGTACAATTTTGTGAAGATATATAACATAACTAATTGCAAAGTTTATTACGTTTAATCCTTATAAAAACTACGAAATAATTACCTTAATTACTTAGTGATGTCATATTAAACCTACTTGATTTTTCCTATAAATGTTTGCTATTAAGTACAAAGATAATTTTCAATAGTAAAGTAGTTTCTGTTTACCGAACCTATGCATTTTTTATAATTGTCATTATATATTTTTTCAAGACTAGGTGGAGAAATAAACACATAGTTTATGTTTATTGTCAATAAGTTATTGAATTACAGTAGAATTGTTCACACTTTACATTGTTTTCTAAATTATTTACTTTTATTTTAATATATAACTATTTGTAAATTATGCCTAACGTACTACTACACTGTATATACAGTACACCTTTACGTATTTATTTACTGATTAAGCATTAAAAGTACAAAAAGATAACAAAATGTATTAACCAAATGCACTAATTTTAGATAACGAATTAGATCATCATAAATTCGAGTTGCAACTTATAATCATAACAAATATTTTATAAGTTATAAGTTACACTTTGCTTTAGACAAAACACCCGCAGTTGACAATTAATTAAATGAATTTTTAGATAACATATTTTTTAAAATATTTGAGTTTACTTTAGTAAGGTACATTTACGTACACCCTGTACATTTTCCTTTATAATGTACCAAAACTTTGATAAGAAATGTACCCTAATCACTTTTCCACTGAAACATATTTATCGCTTTTACTTTTTGATATGATATAAACATTAAGCACAAAGTACATAAGTACAGTTGTAAGTTGATAATGTATTTTAATATAATTTATTCTATGATTTTATGCATATTTTTGGCCTAAAATTAACTACAATAGTAGTTAACATGGTCAAATATTATAGAACCTCAATTGTTTAAGCAAAACTAAAGTGAATGTTTTAAATATCGGTTATGATAGGTTAAGATGTAACTTTAAAAAAGTAAATGCATTAAACATATTTATTTGTTATACAATTATTAAAAATTTCTGTTTAAATGTCTTTTACTTGCATTCAATATTGTAGTCATATATTAAACATTTGTTAGGGTGTTAAAAACTAGTTATAGCGTATGGTGTAATTATACTAAACATAATAATCTAATATAAATTAAACTATAAATCTATTTTACAATATTTAGTTTGCCACAATATTTTTAGTGATATAGCCTGCACAATTTATCAATCAGTATTTTCTAATTAACATTAATATTAATAGATATCCAATGTTTTAATAAAACAATTACAGTGTAATATTTTTTTAATCAATTTATATATTTATATCTATTAGCGATAAAATCCTCAAATATTTCGGGAACTTTTGATAAACTATTTTCAGTTCGTATTCTTTCGCCAATTTGTGCCAACTTTTGGTTCAAAGCCTTATCAGTCAAGAGTCGGTCGACGGCTCCCAACAACTCCTCTTCAGTGCACCGGAAGGCGTTTAAACTGACGCCAAACCCCTTGTGTTGAATCTGTTGTCCGTTGTCGAGTTGGTCACTAAATAACGGCAATACAATCATTGGTTTCCCAAAATACATACTCTCTGACACTGTATTATTGCCGCCGTGTGTTATCACTAAATCAACTAATGGTAACACTTGTATCTGCGGTACAGTCCCGGCGCCCCACATATTGTCGGGCACAGTATATGTGTCGTGAAGGGGCCCTTTGGACACAATAAACCGATGCCGGGATTTACCCAAAATTGAGACCAATCTCTTCATATTGTCCACATTTGCCGCACCGATAGATCCCAAAGAAAAATAGATTAATTTTTCGTTGGATTTTTGGGTTAAAACATCCGGCAATACAAACGTTGAGTGCTTTTCATTTCGCATTAAATTATCAAAACGTATGCAATTTGGAGGCAATGGTCTGACATCGAGATAATCCAACTCTAGGGGAAAGCCATAAACGGACAAACATTGGGATATATTAGGATTAAACATAATATCCCGGTTTAGTGGCGCACAGCCGCGGCTAATAACCCAATCATTTAGTCGACTCCAGGCCTCTCTGTCCTCGGCGTTGACCCGTAGTTCGCGAAAGCGTTTCCATTCACTCTTATCGCCAGTAATGGGTAAACCTATTGATATAAATATATTACTTTATTAGTTACTAAATATATTAATAAACTAAACAAGTTGTAATTTACAAATTTTTTACAAAAATAAAGTTAATAATAATTGGTTCGATATTATTACCTGACATGGCTGGTGGTGTGCGCTCGTCGTCCAACAACAACAATGGATTACCGCTCCGGACCCACACAAACGGTATACTACAAGCCTCGACATATGGTAGGGGATAATGTTGGTCCAAAACAATAAGATCGGGACTAATTTGCTTTACAATCGTCTCCACCTCCCGGTCCAGCGCTATGTGTCCGGCAATCCTCAAAACCATAAGTTTACTCAATTTTTGCATTCTTTCAATGGGCGACAAATCGCTGAACAGCACTTGTTTGGCCACATGTTTGTTTGGATTATTATCAGCCTTGGGTCTGTCCTCTTCGGCTGTGAAATCATCGATCAAACCCATCACTTCAATCCCAAATGGCTTGAGTAGTGTTTCAAATTTGCTCTCCACTGCGAACACAACCCGGTGTCCCTTCCCTATCAACGGCTCGGCTATACCTATACAGGCGTTCACGTGTCCGACGGCACCGATTGGTATGAATAATATTTTAGTGTTTCAAATTTGCTCTCAACTGCGAACACAACCCGGTGTCCCTTCCCTATCAACGGCTCGGCTATACCTATACAGGCGTTCACGTGTCCGACGGCACCGATTGGTATGAATAATATTGTTAAGTTTCTGGCCATTGCTTTTTCTCAATAGTTATATTTCATATACTTGTATACAATAATTTTCAGTGTAATTTAGGTAATATTCAGTATAAGGTATGTTTATATCTTTAACATGTTTAATTATTATAATCAAATACAATGTCGAATTTGTGGTCACTTTTATACTGTACAATTTTGTGAAGAAATATACCATAAGCATTTAGCACTTAACATAACTAATGTACCAAAATTTTGATAAGAAATGTACCGTAATCACTGTTCTACTGAAACACATTTATTGCTATTACTTTTTGATGTGATATAAACATTTTAAGCATCTAAGTTACACAAGTACATAAGTTAAGTTGTATGTTGATTATGTATTTTAATATAATTTATTCTTATAGACAACATTTGGATGCTTTGGTTGCATGAACAAGTGAAAACTACACGAGTAATATTTAATTCATTGCATTATTAAAAACAACTTTAATATTTCTAAGTAAAAACAGTTGTTTTCTTTGTGACCAAATCATCCAAAAAGCATCCAAATGTTGTCTATATTTATTCTATGATTTTATGCATATTTTTGGCCTAAAATTAACTAAAATAGTTGCTATCAGAGTCAAATAGTTGCATATACTTATTTATAGAGGGGGAGTCAAATAGTTATATAACCTCGGGTAATATAACCTCAATTGTTTAAGCAAAACTAAACTGAATTTTTTTATGTCGGTTTTGATAGGTTAAAATAGATGTCATTTTAAATAAAGTAAATAAATTAAAATTATTTTATAAAATTACATACGTTTTGTTTATTAATAGAAAATTAATTATCTTATAAAAGATATTATAAAATGCGTTGTATTTAATTATTTCTGCCATTATTTCATTTTACATACTATTACAGTGCAACTTCTCTATAATGAACGGCCAGTTGCACGACAAAAGTGTTCATTATGGGGAGGGTTCATCCAAGGGAGGTTCGAGTAAAAATGTCTTATTTTTGAGTAATATTTGAACATTTTTATAAACAATAGCAATTATTGAAAATAATCAGTAATTTTAGTTTGTTTAGCTGTATTTAAATGATAATTAAATGTATTAGTCTTAATTTTGTCCAATTGTTCAAACATTTGATCATCGGATGCCTCTTTGGACATAAAATAAAACTATAAAATGCAATATTGAATGAAACTATGAATGAAAATGTGTTATTTGTTTGCTTAAAGTTTAAGATTAGAAACTATTTTAAATATTTTTAGGAATAATGTGCGTATTATTATATTTGTTCATTATTGGGAGTGGAAATTTTATCTTAATCTCTATAAATGCGTTCATAATGGGGAGGTATTCATTATGGAGAAGTTCACCTAAGGGGGGTCATTTTAACATTATAAGTATAGGAAATCCAACGTAGATTTCAAAACCGTTCATTATGAGGAGGTGTTCATCCAAGAGAAGTTCACCCAAGAGAAGTTGCACTGTATTTAATTATCGCACTTGTTTGCTAACTATTAAATCACCAGGAAACTTCTATAACAATAGTAGTTGTGCATTATGGCGATATCACCTGAAGTTTATGCAATAATTAGTGACTTTCATCGGAAATGTGGGCTTAAATTAATAAGCATGATCGATTTGATAAATAAGTATTTATAACTCCCATATTTAATAAATAATGAATGAATTAATTATATAATGTTTAACAGAAAGACAGACATAATTATAGACATTGGTTCGGGAGACGGGGCCACTACTAAAGTGTTGGCCACTCGTGTCTCACACAAGCGGGTCATTGCCATTGATGTGAACCCAGCGATGACAGCGTACGGCCAGAGTGTCAACAGTCTGACCACCATTGAGTACTTGACACAAGACATGTCGGTCTCGTGGCAGGAGCTGAGCGACGATGTCCGGCGTCTGGAGTCTAAAGTGGACATAATTTTCTCCAACTTTTGCTTTCATTTCATACGAGATAAGAGCCAACTGTTGTCGATATGCCGGCGACTGTTGTCCACCGGCGGCATAATTCACGCCAATGTATTTCTGTTGAATGATTTGAACAGTAAATTACCGGCCGATCGCCAAAAGGCATGCTTTCTATCCATTGACCAGCAGTTAGATGTCTGGCGCCGGGCGTTGACTGACAACGGCTTTACTGTAGATGTGTTTACAGTGGCTGAGGACACCTTTACAATGGCTCGCGAGCACGCAATTGGTATGTAATATTTACCATGCTAATTGCTATGTAAGTACCATGCTCATTTTGTTGTTTTACAATTTTATGTTAGCCTCGTTTCCTGTTATTATGTCTATCTATAAGACATTCTTCGAGACCACCGAAGAGTTTGTGAGAGAATGCAGTGATTTGTCGGATGTTATATTTGACGCAATGTGTAATCCAGTGGCCGATCGGCCCAACCCTAACGCGTGGACACAATTCCTGGCCAATGAGGACATCACTGAAGTGGTCTATAGGGCACAACTATTAACGCTTGTGGCCCACAAAAAAATGATAATAATATATTAACAACAAAATAATTCATAATCTAGAATAAACTTTATAAAATATTCAAGTATAACGTTATTGTATATAATTTTAGTAAAAACAAACAAATAAATGTTTAAATTATTTGTTAATTATTTATTAAATTCAAAGTACGTAAGGCCACGTAAAATTTGGAGTAGTTTTGAATTATTTGTCAAGTTTTAATGATAGTAACTTAATAGTAAATTATTACATTAAAAAATTTATTTACAACTAATTCTACTATTGTTTAAGTATGTGTTCTCGCATTTGTATAATTAGCTTGTGCAAAATTTGCACTGCAAATAGCTTTTAATCAATCTATGCTAGATTTAAATAATATTATGCTTTGTTACTCTCAAATTTAAATTGAATTTTATTAAAATAAAATTTATTATGGGTGTTTTTGAATTAAAATAAAAATTTTTAGTATATTAAATTTTTGAAGCAAGTAGGTTATATATAGGCAATATATAAGTGACAATAATTGTGCGATAATTTATTTAACTTAAAATAAAGTATAATTAATAATTATATAACTAAAGTCTGTTTCATATTTAAGGAGACTAGTTTAAATGAAGATAACATATTATTTAAACACTCGATTTTAATCAAATAATTTTATTTACAATTTACAATACTTATAGATTAGTTTTGCAAATTTTTACAACAAAATCTTAATCCAGTTATCCGCAATAAATTTATAAAGATTCAATAATTAGTCCGTACTATCTCACTCTACCGAGTTTTACGGTAATTTTTTAAAAATTCCCGTTTAGAATGGTCAATTAATCTACGGATTTGTTTTAAAACCATTCTAATAGTTTTGTTTGATAATATAAATGTCAATTTAACTGTTTTCATTGATTTTGATTGTCCTCCAGTAAGTCGATTTTTTGAAAATTTACCGACTTTTTAAGTTCGAATGTATTTTTTACCATGATAACTTATTTTGTTAATGCTGTAACTTTGTAAATTTGTCACTATTTATTGATAGGTTAATTTGGCTAAGTGAGGGATTTTGTGTGTTATTGGTGTAGTGACCAGCCGAGTGTTAATTGGGCTAAGATCGGGACTTTAATTTTGAACTTTCGGGCCATTTAAAATAATTATTGTGATGCAAATTGTTAGTGTTGTGATATACCAATTTAAAGGTCTCATTTAGATGTATCTATTACATTTTAGACATTGAAATTACAATAACTAATAGTTGAGTTTTAATTAAATTTGTATTTTATAATACAGTCTCCCTAAATATGAAATGAACTTTATAAAATATAGATTTAGCAACTGCTAAAGTTAGTTTATAAGCTCAAATTATTTGATAAATACATACACCTTATTTGTAATTTATTTTTTAAGGACAGTAGTCCTAAGATTTCCATGTTCAATTTATTATCAGAAATATTATCTATTTAAATGTATATTAGGAATATTTTGGTAAAATGTAAGTGTACTAAATAGATAACAGATGTAAAGTTGTGAACTATTTATCACGTATTTCTCAAACAATAAGCATGGTCATTTAAGTATATTATGGGTAAAAATGTTTCACCTATAAAAATAAGTTCATTTTACATAATCCATTAAAACTCAAAACAGTTAACTTAAAAATAAAACTTCTAAACTAACTGTAAATTAACAATGTTTAAAATACTTTTGATTTTCAGCCTGTGCTACATTTACAGCGCAAATATTGTACCCCATTCAAGCAACTTGCAAGCACACTACCCTGATCCCGACGCACCCGCACCCACTCCCGCGGCCCTCAACTGTATGTTTGATAAAAAGGGTGATCAGCAGAGAGCCTGTGCTGTGAACGCCTACAACCACTGGCACACCGTTGAGCCCCATTCAAAGGCCTGGTGTTGCGATTCATACGAGTATTTAGACTGTGTTGGAAAGATTGCTGCCGATAAACACGGGGTAAATTGAATTATTATTGTTTGTAAAAATTATCTTAATTAATTTGCATGTTTAAATAATGCGGAATTCCGATGCATTATTTAAATATGTTTTACACTTAATATAAGAATTATTAATTAAATTTTACAATAAATTGAAATATTAATTATTTACAATTATTAGAAAAAATGTACTAAAGACGAGATTTGGGCCGTGAATATACATATTGGTGAAATGAAATACTATCTAAGCTACAAACAATGCGTTGACTACAAGTACCTTGATAAAAATCCATGTCTTTAAAAATTAATAAAACTTTTAAAACCAAATTATGTCAAAACATAATTTAAATTATAATGAATTAAAGTACAGAGAAAACTTTTAAATAATTTAATATTTAATTGTTATAACATTAACGCTAAATTAAAATATAAATATTTCTTAATTAAATACAATTCACAAATACTGTTTCATAAATAATGAATAAAATTACAGTTTTTAAGTTAATTAAAATTTTAAAATTATATTTACTTTTATCAAAAGTAATTACATGATTTACTGATATTTTATTTAAAAGGAATTAAAAATAAAATACAATTTAATATTTTTGTGACGAAAATTAATTTTAATAAATAAATAACAATTTTCAGAATTCAAATTTGGCAAAAATTAAATAATATTTTTAAACTACATTTGTGATACTTGCAAATAAATAAAAATTACATATAAAATATAACTACTAATAAAACAAATTATGCAATAATTTATAGCAAATGAACTAAACATTTAAGACAAATAAATGTCAACTTGAATTTAGTAATACAGTATTATTAATGAGAATATTAAACAAGTTAACAAACTTAAATATTTCTATTATTTAGTCTCGCATACAACACGACATTACAGTATAATCATTTCTAATTTCGTAAACTTTATTAATAAAACCAGATTTAGATTTTAGCCAATCATTGCGCTTATCATTGCAATCAAGTCTCATAAACATATAGTATATCTTATTTCTCGTATTATTAAAAAATGGTTTAAAACGATTTTCATCAAGGTAAATTTTTGTAGAATTTACTAAATTAGGTGTGGTTATATCTTTTAAAAGTAATATTGTATTACGGTGACCAAGTTGTGTCAATGAATCCTTGTCAAATAGTTCCTGAGTTAAAATTGCATCTATATTCAAATGAAACCATGATGAGTTAGTACTCAACGCAAGTGCTTTTGCCGGTAAATGTGTGATCGATGTGTTTGAAAACCACAGAAATTCCACGTTTGGGAGTGAATAAAATGCCCGCTCGCCCACTGTCGCCATAGACTTGCCCCCAATCTCTATATAAACAAGGTTCTTAAGCGAACCGAACGCATTGGCTGGTACCGACAATAAATTACAATCCTTTAGCTTAATGTTAGTAATGGAAAGCATTGAGTTTATTATAGCAAACACCTTGGTCTTCTTATGATCCAACCTTGGACAATTAGTTATATTAAACGAAACGGTTGTATTTTGATTTTTAAACGCAGCAATGTCAATGTGGGTTAATGATGGGTTATCGGCAATATCAATCATGTTAAATTTAAAATCGGCAAATGTGTTGGATTTAATTTCGGCCACATTAGTACCATTTAATATTACAGTATTTATATGCTTTTGATTGGCGGTCAATGTTTTGCTAAGTTTGTCCATTAATAATTTTAGCTCGGTTACTTTTGGTCCCAAACATAACCATTCAATTTTCCATGTATAATTATTACATGAACATGGTGACATTATATTCTCGTAGACGCAACTTGTAGGTTTATTAGCAGTGACAGATAAAACTACCAAGCTACACACTATTAAACAATTAACTGACATGATAAAATTATATTATTAAATTAGAAATTAAACTAATCGTTCTATTTGAAATAAACTTTAACTAATAAAAACACCATTAAACAATTCAATAGAAATAATAAAAGTTAATTGGAGGCTATGTCATTTATTTGTTCAGAGTGTATTTCAAAGAATTTCACCATAATTAGTTTGTGCTAATCAACATAAATAAATATGGCATTGATTAGTATAATTTCGTTTTGAAATTAGCAATTACTAAAAATATATTTTATTTTATTATGCCAAATGTTTTTTTTAACATATAATTTATTGACACAATATATTTATAATTTAACACTTTTTAACTTATATAACTTTTTAAATAATATCTATTTTGTGTTTTTAAAATAATTAATTTTAAAAATATATTTCATTCAACACTACCCTAAACTAAATATTTAAATCTATATAAATCTTTATATTTGAAAAATTCATATTATTATTTATAAAATAAATAATTGTAACGCTGTCATTTTTGCAATACAGAAATAGGTATACATTTTGAATGAATGTGAATGTATTTTAATATTGTATAGGTGCATTATTATTTTGTAAGTATTTGTTAATTAATTTCAGATAAAGAATAAGCGATAAAAAGTTTAAAAATAAATGTATTTTTAATTACAATACATCTTATTATAAGATAAATTAATGGAAGCAACTATCATGGTCAATTAAGTATATTATGGGTAAAAATTTTCTGTATATATAAACAAGCTGATTTTACATAATCTATCACAATTAACTTTTATATAATCAACAATAAAATAAAGTATCCAACTATTAAACGATTGACAATGTTAACATCAATAATGAATTGAATTGAATATTATAAGCACTTCAGTAAAGTATTATAATATACTGTTGATAGTGACGACAGGACTATCGATTCATGTACTGACAATTATTGTAATCTCGGCACTCAATTTAAAACCATCCTAATAAGATTTTTAACCTGATAATATAACATACACTTGCTTGGGTGGTATCATGTGTAAATGAGTCATATATCTGAGCAAATTAAATGAGTGGTGCCAACATGTTTAGAATATTTACACGTTATTGTAGAATTAATTGTTAAAAATTATATGGTTAAACTAGTAATGTCAACAAGTAGTACCGGCTAAGATTGTTAATTCAAATGTACTTTTTTTTATCCTGGCCATTTCATCAATTATTTACATACTGCTTTTTACTTTAAGCTGGTGAAGCACCTGTCACTCCCCATTTAGAGAACTCCATTGCATTTATTATTTGCAAACATTAATATAAGGTGATGATTAATTGGTATTTATCACTAATTAACGAGAATTCAATTGTACTGAAACAATTTTAGCTTTAATCAATATAAAGCATTGATTTGATTGTTAACGAGCTTAACCTAATTTTAACTCAAATAATATTTTATACAATTGTTATATTTTTTAGAAAATATAGTTTTTCTAATCTTATAGAATTATGAAGATGGGTTAATAGTCCAATATTCAATACTTGTGGTGCATTTAATCATAATCGCATTAATGTACCAGAGTTATAATTTTTTGTATAAATAGCAAAATTAGCATTAATATTATTTATTAACTATACATGTTAACTTGATACTGTTATATATTTATACAATGAATAAACTAGTTTTTATTGGGTATTTGAGCCTTATATACTGTGCAAACAGTATGGCGTTCAGTATACAGTACAGCACCGGTAATGATGACCCGCAACGTCCGCAACCAAGTGAGGCGGCGAAACATTGCTTAAATACAACGGTTGCACTCGGAAATGCATGCGCCAAAAAGGCCCATGATAAATGGCTTAATGTAAAACCACAAACTAAGTCCCAGTGTTGCGAGTATTTTGATACTATTGACTGTTATAATAATGAATTTGTTGTCATGAATGTATGTCAATTAATTATACATAATATTTAATTAAACATTTTAATCTAATATGGTTTATCTTAATTTTAGCCCCCGTGCACAGATCCTAAAGAAGTGGATGCTGTGAACAAGTACCAAGATGATCTTATAGATTATTACACAAACACAGAATGCCATAGTTATCCCTACTTGCAAAAGCAACTATGCCAATTAGTCGATACCCCACCGCCGGCCAAACCACTCCCGGTTGACATAACCCTATACTACGAGTACAAGTGTGGTCCGTGTCGTCGGGAAATTAGTACACAAATCGCGCCCGCATTTGAAAAGCTAAAGTCCATAATGAATGTGAACTTTTTCCCCTATGGTTTGTCACAATGGCATCAGTGGACCAAAGTTAATAAAACTGATGGTACTTTTGATTTAAACATGAAAGTTGCTGATGAGCTTGGCACCTTGATTAGTGTATGATCATGATTATAATATTTTGTATTGGTAAATTTTAATAACAATTTTGTTTGTTTGTAATTAATAATAGTTATGCGCTGTTGAGAGCGAACCGGCGGACAAATACGTGCCGTTCATTGGATGTGTTATGGGATCCAAAGACGTAAATGAACCGGCAATTGCAGCAAAACAGGTGACTTGATTTAAATTTACCATATTTTAAATGATTGCAAATAATAAACTTGAAATTATAAATAGTGTGCCGACAAAGTGGGACTCGATATGACCACAATTAATGAGTGCGCTTACGGACCCTTAGGGCGGGGTTTGATGTTAAGGGCGTATGAAAAGGATATCGCCACTAAACCTGATGTACAATATGTACCATGGGTGTTTATTAATGGTGCCCACACTAACTATATGCTACGCAGGGGTGGCGACAATTTTCACAAAGTTGTTTGCGATGCTTATGCCGTAAGTATTTGATATACGTAATTATAGATTTGCGATTACTATGGTAAATAATCTAATTATTAATAATGCTATTTATCTATAGGGACCAAAACCTGCTGAATGTCAACAATAGTTAACGAATCACATTTTATACAATATCATCTTGCCAATTTCAATGCCAATAAAATACTTTATTAAGAATAAATAATAAACTATAAAGTTTAATGATAAATTAATTGGGTTATTAAAACAATTATTTCAAGAGCATAAACAGTGTATGAGTTATATAACACAACTGATTATATAATCATTTAGCACATACTGTATTTATCAAGCACATTTTATATGTCAATTCGCATCTTCACTGTTCAACATATAGTCAATATAACTAATGTAAAGTATTATTTAATAATTAAATTATTCTTGCAAATAATTATACCAAAATCAATGCAACAAAACTTATTTCTTTGTCAATGATTTTGTTGTATTTATGAACGTATTGTATGAACACATGTATTACACGTGGAGATCATGTGATGTCTATTATTGTTGTGTTTATTCTCAATGAGGTTTGTATTGACTAAACATGGGATCAATTTGTGGTGATTTTCGTG